TACTAAAAATCTCTTATCGTCTCCTAAAAAAAATCCTTCATCGTCGTATGAATTTGCAGTTGTGTGCATTGATATAAAAGATAAAAATTAATAATAAAAAAAAAGAACTACTTAAAATTCCATTTTTTTCTGATACGATCATGAATTAGAAAAAAGTTTAGAAGTTTTTGTGTTGTTGATATTAGGGTTGCTTACTAGCGATTGTTTACTTATATTAGTACGTGGCTATAAAATTTTTTAAATAAAAAGCCCAAAAACATAAAATTAAAAAAAAAACCCTAAAAATATAAATCAAAAACCAAAAAAATTGAACTAAACCAATTCAAAGGAGATGAATAAATAACTTCCTTCCAAATAAAAATTTTAGCTAGTTATGAAATTAAAGTATATAAATAGTTGATTTGGTAGATATATTTAATAAATTAGCCATTTTGGTAAAAAAAAACTCCGTTGTTTTCATGTTTTGTCACTACTCCCTCCGTTTTTTTAATTAACATCACTTTGGATTGCACAAAGTTTTAGGAGAGTAATATGATATTGTAAGTGAGTGAATAAATTATTATAGTAAAAGTAAGATGAGGATCATGAAAGAAAAAGTATGTGAGAGAGGATATATATTTTTATTATTTTAGTGGGGACCATGGAAGAGGGATGGAGAAATGATAAAATAAGTTAAGTGGGGTTTAAAGTAGGAGAGAGTAATGATAAAATATAGTATAAATTTACCAAAAAAAGAAGTGATGTATTTTAAAAAAAACACCCCAAAAAGGAAAGTGATGCAAATGAAAAAACGAAGGGAATATATATAAAGTTTTTTATTTATTTAATTATTTTTTTTACAGGAGCTAAAGCAGATTGATAATAATTATTAAAGGAAGGAAAACTAGAATTATCTATCTATTCAAGAAAAAAGACTTTGCTATAGTAGCCATTTTTTTGTTTCATTTTAACAGAATAATTCATTTTTTCAGTGGAGCTTTCTTCACTTTCTATTTTACAAAATAATAACAGAGTATCGAAAATACATCGGAGTATATATATAGCTACTGTTAGAATTTTTTTTATATATAATAATCGATTATTATTATTATTATTATTATTATTATTATTATTATTATTATATCACAAAAAAATACAAATTTATAAAACCTATAGAAAATTAGTGGGAAGCTGAGATACAATCTGGGCCCCCACTCCTTTAGTTATAGAAAAGCTTAACCTAGAAAAGATATGAGTTGCAGCACGTGCCACAATGTCCTGATTCTTCGAGAACTTTTGGATTCGCTTTAGCAATGCAACAACCTCCTTTTCCAACTCCCCAAGAGAAGAGAAAAAGAAAGATAGGAAGCCATACCAACTGCTCGTCAACTGGATTCGTACTTGACCCGCTTCAGATTGGCCGCATCAGTCACTACCCGTCCAGGAACAAAGTCAGAAAGCCTAGACTATGTCAATGGAGAAGACTCTGTCAAGTCAACACAGACATCACGACCACGATCCCAAGGATAAAGTAACTGATAAGTCAATATTTTATATACTTTATTATATCATTTTAATGCTATTTTAGAGTATAAATTTATAAAATTATAATGCTTTGTTGTCTTATTATGAGATTTTATATTGTAATACTCGATTTAGTGAATTATACTCATAATAAGCTCGTTTTAAGAATTAATCAATGAATTTGATTTCCCTTGTATTTTAATATGTTTTCCAATTGATAATTATAATGAGCATAATCTATTTTTATTATTTTAGGGAAAGGAGCTCAAGTCAATGTTCATTAGTTAAGTGAAATGGAGCAAAAGAAAATAATTAAACAAAGAAAGCCCACTTGACTTCCTAACGTGATACACTTCACCAAAGAAAGAATGAAAGTGGGTTGAAAACCCATTACCTCAAAACTTCCAAAAGAAAGTAGCGGCGGCAGCAAGAGGCAAACCCACGAAAAACCCTCAAAAAACTCACTGATATAGAAGAGCAGCCAAGCAGCAGAAGGGGGTATCACTCACACACGAAGAGACGAAGAGCAGCCGGAGATTAAGGACGGAGCAGCAGCACCTCGCGAGAGCCGTGACTGAATTTTATGCAATTGACTGGTTTTTAGGGAAAGGAGCTCAAGTCAATGTTCATATGTTTAGTATTGACTCTTCATTAATTAGTTGTTCTCTTGATTTCCATGTCTAGCTAATTTCGTTTGTTCTAGGTTAGGGATGTAGTCCTTTATTATCTATCAATGAATTGAATTACTTTGATTGGGTTTGATTTATATAATTGCAATTTGATAATCTTGTTTTAATTTGTACTCTTAATCTGGCCAACTGATTTTATGTTTAAGGTATTGGATTATGAGCGGAAGTGAAATTTCAATACTAGTTCGTGAGATTATCAAACGTCAAGTAGTATAATTTTAGGAATAGTTATACACTTGGGGTGGTCTTTTTGAATTCCTATTCTTAATGAGTTTATTTCAATTGTTGTGATCACGGAAGTAGACATAATGTTGATTTAAATATGCGTTTTCTACCTTGGAAGAGGAGATTATATACTATTGGTAATTCGATCATTGTTATATTATATATGTTCAACCTTGCAATTAGTTTAATTTCATTATAGAGAGTAATTGGCGAAACCCGAAACCTAGAACTACTTCTTATTATTGTCTATCGTTTTATTAGTTTGCAAGCCTTAATCGTTTATAGTTTAGTACTACTTTTCTCATATTTTCGTCGTCTAAATAATATTCTAGTTTCTTAATTTGGTACTTGAGTGGATCTCCTTGTGGATACGATACCTTGCTCACCCTATATTTACTGTAATTGACCCGTACACTTGCGGTAGATTTAGACCCGACTAGTAACACATCTGCAGGTCTGAGAGCCCCGTCATTCCTTCCAGATAACCCAATGTCTACCTCCTTTCTAGCTGAAATCCCTAACCGATAGCAAACATCAACAAGGGTATCCCGAACAACATTATGTCAATGTTTAATGCCCACAATACTAGCACAAGACACCGCATATGATCACCAAAAATATCCCCAGCAAAAACCCTTGAACAAGCAGAGCACAGTGTCAAGATAGAGAACAAAGGAACACCCAACTGGTAGCACAGCACACAACGATAAGTTTTTGCGTTCATAGTTTGAACCAACCCCGAAATAGGGACCGCCCGAACCCAAGCAGAGGTATGATCGCCTTGATGTGTTTTCCATAAGGCAAATTGTCGAGGAGTTAAAGAATAAGCGGATTTTGCACCTTTGTGAAATATACATTTGCCAATTTCTTCATGAGTTTATGGGCAGCGACCTCACTAGGGTTACTCAAAATGTCATACTCCACCGTTCCATTAAACAGACTCAACGCATCCTCAAAAGCATGTCCAAGACCAACAATTCCAGCATGTCGTAGAAGTTGAGTCTGCAACCCAGCAGACAACAACCGAGAGGCAAGAAAAGCATAATGACAAACATCACCTGCGGAATAAACACCCAGCCCTCCAAACGCAAATGGCAAGGTGGCAAGCTGCCACTGCCAATCGCCAAACCCAGGGCCCCGAAGCAGTAACAATACGCTCCAAGGAAGATCGAAGAGCCCCATCGAAAGTGCGTTGAGCCGCCTCAAAAGTACTAGGAGGACAAGTACGCAATGTAAAGTAGATAGTTTAGAAACTCTGGTACATGCCCTAAGTAACTACAACTCACATTGAGGATCATCCAACATAGCAACCTGATCCATAAGGGCAATGGTCTTGGTCATCCTCTGCATCACAAGCTCACCACTAAAACCAGAATCAGAACTAGCAGGACCACCAAGCAACTTAACACCACGCAAAGGGCGAGCAATGTTAGGTGGAAAAACACCCACATGCCTGCTTCGAGGGTTTTCTGTAGGCCAGAAAACTTCAATTTTTTTTCCACGTTAAGATGTAACCTAGAACAAGGCCCTTCCTCCATAATCAACTACAGAACCTTCCCCACCACCAACGTGTCACCAATAATAGTCCCGTCATCCAAATACCAAGCCTGAAGTCATACATCAAAAGTATATCTGATTTTACACAAATGGGGTTGTAAAACCAAAGCAAAAAGCAAAGGACCAAGGGGATCACCCTGAAAGAGATTAACCACCCCAGTAATAGAACTAACCAACTCATCTGAGACTACCACAGCAGCACCACTCAAGAAATCCAAAAAATGTTGAGCACGCAAACCATCCCTACCACATGATGTGCCACGAGGAAAACTCCTAATCCGATCCAAAACAACAGTAGAAGTCGTAACTAATTATTATTATTATTATTATTATTATTATTATTATTATTATTATTATTATTATTATTATTATTATTATTATTATTATTATTATTATTATTATGGCTAGTTAATTAAAAATCTAGTGAGGAAGTTTAGGGAGTTATAGGAAAGTTTAGGGTGTGCACTAATTTTTACGTCCGAAAGTTTAGGATGTTGTTGATTTTTATGTTAGAAAGTTTAGAGAGCTCTACCAATTAATTTGTAAATGAAGGCCAAAATAGGTTACAATGGGTAACTTACAACTTTTGAAAATTCAGTGAGCTAACTGCAACTTTTGGCTAAGTTTAAGGAGTAGTTGTGTTGTTTACTAAAATCAAAAGTGTTTAACCTCACAATTCTAGAGGAAAAATGTTTCCTTTCTATAATCAATAATTTAAATTAACCTTTTGAATTAAAAACTGTTTTCTTATAATCAATAATCAACCAATTAGATCAACCCTTCGTGATATTATACGTAGGCCTTGTTCTTTTGAGCTTCTCAGGCACAGCAGAGCAGGGGTCAGCAGAGCAGATTAAATTTCAGTAGAGCAGAGCAGATTTCAGGATAGCAGAGCCGAGCCGAGCATAGCAGATTTCAGTATTATTATTAATACTATTATTAATGTTGCTGCTACTACTACTACTACTGCTGCTGCTCCTGCTCCTGCTCCTACTCCTACTCCTACTCCTACTACTGCTGCTGCTGCTGCTATTTGTATAACTCTGGTGGTCGTGTTGTTGGAAAAAAAGAAAATGTCCGTTTGGATGATAGAAGTTTAAAGCAAGCTCATCGCTATGTTTTACTTCATTCTGATGAACTAACCCCGGTGCTCAAGTAAGTAGCATTATGTGTTTAGGTAAAGCGTCCAATATATACTTGTTACTAACATAAAATTTACAATCTCCATAGTGAGTTCCTAAAACTAAAGAGGCAAGAGAATGACGTTGGAGGAAGTCAAGCTGATGAATCTATTGAAAATCAGTGGATAATTGATGAATTTGCAGATTGGTTGCAAAGCCAGGTCATATGCTTTTACATTTAGGGTCTTTTTATTTTCATATTATACAACTTTCTAATTCTAACTTTATTATTCTCGAATTATAGGTCCATAATTTAGATGATAGCACGGTAGATGGAAAGTTAAGAAAAGCCTTAGCCGGTGGCTTGAGTAACCGCGGGAAAAGGATGAAAAGTGTTATTATCAATGGTTACAAATTTGATATTGTGGATCGTGAGCGATTTCGAGTAACTCAGAATTCAGGAATCATGGTGGAAGCAGAGGGTCACGAATATTATGGAAAACTCAAAGAAATTTTGGAATTAGATTATTATGGTTCATATAAGGTTGTACTGTTTCGTTGTGATTGGGTCGATATCCGTAGGGGTATCAAAACAAATCCGAATGGAAGTGTTTGTATCAATTTCTCAAAGTTGATGCACACTGGTTGATTTTTGCGTGATGATCCATTTGTTTTCTCATCTCAAGCAAAACAAGTTTTTTATATTGAGGATGAGATACAAAAAGGGTGGTGTCATGTTGTGAAAACTAAGCCGACTTGTTTGATATTCCTGAATAATTTGTTTACAACTTTTATTATAATTTATTATATATTTGAGTTCATAAATTTGGATGGGTTGTGTATTTTTATATTTCATTTAGTTATTCTAATTCATCAAAGTTTGTATTTTGTCAACTTAATTTCTGTTTCTGTTAACTAAATTCTATAACTGAAATTCAAATCTGAATTCAATTCTGGATTTCAGCTCTGAACATCAGAAATGAATTCTAGAACTGAAATCAGAACTGAAATCCAAATCTGAATTCAGTTTTGAATTCAGCTCTGAACATCAGAACTAAATTGCAGCTTGTGTGTGTGTATTTGCAAAATTCATTGGCTAATGTGTGGGCAAACTTTGTTAATCTTTCTTGATGTGTTTACCTGTCTTCATGCATTTTATATATACTTGCTGGTGCTTTATATTAAACATATGGATTATGGTGTGTTCTAGAAGCCTAGAAGTGCTAGAAAACTTGATTGCAGTGACTACTTGGAACCTTTGGCTGAAGATGATTGCTTCTTTTGTGCTTTATGGATTCCTAAGATTAAGTGTTGTTCTTGTTTCTTAATTAAAGAGGCTTTTATGCATTTAACTCACTGTTGGGCTTCTTAACTGTGCTTACTATATTCAATACTTGTTTCTTATTTCAACTCTACTATGTTGCTCATTTATTTTTCTTATTTCATGGTTTCTTAATTTGGTTTTGAATCTTCTGATGACTAATCTTATTGCCACGCTTATGATAATTTTTTATTTCTGTTCTTTTTAATAACTTATTTTGCGAATTTATCAGGTAAAGTATGATGTACCGAAGCAAGAGAGCAAGGGACATACTTGCTGCCACAGCCAAGTCACATGATCAAGTATCATCACAGTCACCAATTATCTCTAATGCATATACTTCTTCTGCTGCTGAAGCTTCACAACCCACCAAAAAACAAGCTAGAAAGTCACCACAAACTGAGGTTCTTAGGGATGACAAATGGGGACCTTTTTCTCCACCCATTTCCACTATAAAATGTGACCACCCACCACCTAATAATTTAGGATCCATTTGGAAAAACCCTCCTGGTTCAACGTTAAATTCAGTTAAGGAATCAGTTACGCAAGGTCAGCAAAAAAAATACCCACCAGAAGTTTCATCTTTAGTCCCACCTAATATTCCACCTAATGTTCCACATTCAATTGCACCAGACTCATTGAACTCCCCTTCTACTTCTCACAAACCTCCTGAGCGCCCAAAACCTGCTACACGAGGAATCCGGAACCGTGAAACAGGTGCTTTGAAAATTTCAGCTACAGCTCCACGGGATAATCATGAAAGACAAAAAAGTGGAAACGAATCAGAAGAGATCCCGAAACAATGTAAGTCCTTACGACCAAAAGCACTTCCGGATTGGCGAGATGACATTGATTTTGACGACAAGGAGGAGGTTCTAACCATAAGTAAAGGTTTTCTATTCAAAGTTGTCTGCTGATGCTTGTTGTTGTTGTGGTGTGATCCTGACCAAAAATGGAGGGGAAAGGGAGGGGAAAGATAGAGGAGAGAATATAGAGAAGTGAGGAGTAAAGAGAAACATGCGGCATACATTATATTAATTCTTTCAATTTCCTTCTGTTCTTTAATCTATAAATTTCCTCGCTTTAAACCTGCATTTCTGTTACTTGTGACTAGTATTTCAACTACCCAAAAGATAACAGAGAAATAAAATACAGCTTTGTTGGTGTCTTGGTAGTGAATAGGCAAGAGTGTAGTTTTCATTTGTGGTATGTACAAATAAATTATAGGCTTAAATTCCCTATTTAGGGATCTGAAAATTATTTATTCCCAATTCAATGTGTTTTTGGATGGTCATTTCAACTCCATTTCTTTAAATTTTGAAAGACTTAAAGTACTTTGTCCAACTGCAATGTAGGAGAAACCCCCTGTTCAAATCCCTCTCTGAAGTTAAACATGGTGCCTGGATTTGACCATCTTGGATTTTAGGGATATGATTGCATATGTTTAGAAAAATTACATCAACTATGCCCCACATTAGCATTCTTACTGATGGTGATTGCTTTGACGTACTCCTCACAACAAAGCTATCATACAAAGATAAGAATTCAGTTTTGATTTCAGCTCTGATCATCAGAAATGAATTTTAAAACTGAAATCAGAACTGAAATTCAAATCTGAATTCAGTTCTGGATTTCAGTTTTGATTTCAGCTCTGAACATCAGAAATGAATTCTAGAACTGAAATCAGAATTGAAATTCAAATCTGAATTCAGTTCTGGAATTCAGTTTTGATTTCAGCTCTGAACATCAGAAATGAATTCTAGAACTGAAATCAGAATTGAAATTCAAATCTGAATTCAGTTCTGGATTTCAGTTTTGATTTCAGCTCTGAACATCAGAACTGAATTGCAGCTTGTGTGTGTGTATTTGCAAAATTCATTGGCTACAGTGTTGGGTTATTTTGTAGATTTTTTTGTAAAATTTTTTTATCTGCTTCTCTGTTAGAACATATTGTCCACTTAACTGATTATTTCTTTTAACTTAATCTTGTTATTTTATTTAGATGCCAAGGGTAATACTACATTAGTAAGTGGTATTATTCTGCCAATTGACATATGGAGTAATAACGGCGTCCAGTACTATGTCGAATTCAATGATTTATGCCAGCCAATTAGGAAGGGTGGACATATTTTGGTTAAATTCATTAGTATGATTGCGAAGATGGAGTCACATTGTCCAGTTGGGGAAAAAGATTGGAAAGCAATCGACAAGAATTTTAAAGGGAAAATAATTAAAGACATAAGAGTAAGTATATTCATCCCTAAGACATCCCTTGTCATTGCCTAAACATACATACTTAGACGGTCTCTTACTTCTAATAGATTACTTACTGATTTATATTTTTAACATTATTTTTACTGAAGGACCGTTTTGTGATTCCTCCTGGTGTGGAATATGACAACCAAGCTCTCAAGCGTGCCAATAAATGTTGGAGGCAATTCAAATATTCTCTGAAACTAATTCATTACAAGCCACTAGAGAAGAAATTGGATGATATTTGTAATAATGTGCCACATGGAATTACCAGTAGTAACTGGGTTAAGTTGGTAAAATATTGGGATTCGGATTACGGGAAAGTAAGGACAATATTTACCTTATTGTTTACTCTATTAAACGTTATTTAATCTCTAACTAAAAAATCTGAAAATGTGATTGCAGACTATGTCAGCATGCGGTAAAAAGGCACGAGCTTGTCAAAATCAGATTCATACATCTGGCTCTAAAAGTTTTGCAAACCAACAAGCTGATTATGTATGGAATATATATGTCATTTTATATTTACTTAGGATATTAGTAAGAGCAAAGCCAAGTTATATGCGTTATATACTATTGTACACATATTTAATGCTTGTTTTGCCTTATTATTTATAGGAAGATGAACATGGACAAAAAATGAGCTTGTTAGCGCTGTGGATTAAAATCCATGCGGGTAAAGACGAAAAATTTCTTCCTGACACAGTCACTCAAGATTTTGTGGTATGGTTTTGTGACAGATTTCGGGAATCATTTTGTGTAGATTTTGTGGTGTGATTTTGTGTTATTTGTGGTCTTACATTACTCCTAAATGTTGGTATAGAATGATGTTAAAGCTAAGGTTGAAGAGTTGAGGATGGTGCACCCTAAGTTGTCCGAACAAGAGCTCGAACATGAAGCATTTCAGCAAACTATGTATGGCAATGAGATTCCCGATCATCCGGTGGGTTACGAACTAGGGGTTAAAAAGGGGGACATTTACGGAGTACGTGGTGTGTTAAGGAAGGAAGGCTATGGAAAAGTTCAAAAGAGGACTATTGTGATGGATAGTGTTAAAGAAGAAGTAAATGCTTTGCACAAAAAAAAATGATACACTATCTCAAGAAAATGAAAAGTTGAAAGACGAGGTCGGACACAACAATCTTCTTCTTAAAGCGCTTGTTGGACAATTTTCTCAGATTGTAGGTGCAGTTCGTCAAGGGAATGCATCTCCGGGTCTTCTAAACAAAGCATCTGAAATCTTAGGAAAGGCAAAACATCAGGTAACAAAGTCACATTTCTCTTTATGTGTGTGAAAGTAAGAGCTTGTGTGAATGCTTGCTTGTGATGTGTGTGTGTGTGTGTGTGTGTGCCCTGCTCCCCTGCTACTGCTTGTCCTGCTCCCCTACTGCTTTTATACAGCATGTCTGCCCTGCTCCCCTGCTACTTGCTGTAAAGCTCCCCCGCTGCTTGCTGTAAAGATTGAATTAAGTAACATTTAGAGCCACTTTTTGGAGGAAAGCCCTCAACAATTTCAGAACTGAACCAGAACTGAAATCCAGAACTGAATTCAAGAACTGAACTCAGAACTGAATGCAGAGATGATCTTCCGAATTCAGTTCTGAATTCAAGAACTGAACTCAGAACTGAATGCAGAGCTGATCTTCAGAATTCAGTTCTGAATTGCAGCTCTTCAGAATCCAGTTCTGGAATTCAGTTCTGAACATCAGAATTCAGAGCTGATCTTCAGAATTCAGAGCTAAACTGAATGCAGAGCTGATCTTCAGAATTCAGTTATGGAATTCATCAGTTCTGAATTGCATCTCTGAACATTAGAACTTGTGTGTGTATGATTATATTTCAGAGCTTGTGTGTGTGTGTGTCATCAGATTTTGTCTTTTTGATCAAATTTATTTCTTGTTATTTCAACTATGATGCATTGATGTTTGTTGTTCTTAAGTGTTGTTGCTGTTTGCTTTTGTTAGTTTGCTTTAAGCTATCATCAATTTGACTTTGAGCTTTATTATGGCTGAAGTTTGGGGATAAAAATGTCTTTGTTGTTAGAGTTGTCTGATGTGCATATATCTATATGAAGTATGAACTGATTGTGATCAAGTCATTCATATGTGTAATGGTGGTTGCTCTGGTTATTTCTTCGTTATAATTGTTGAGTGTCTCATCCAGTTTCAGATACATCATCTACTCCCCTTTTGATACAAATTTTTTTCTTATCTAGTACCCCATCTACATCTTGATAAACCAAAGGCTTTTGCAGTCTCAAAAGGTTTCTGGTCAGACATAAGAAAAGGAACATGTGTATAATAACAGTTACAATTGGTACAACCAAGAGCACTTTACAAAATATAATTCTTTTCTTTGTATGATAGCTTTATTGTGTTTATATTATGTTGTCTGTTGAAGACTTGATATAATTTGGGAATACACACGTACAATGCAATTATAATGACTTAAAATTTTCAAAATATCTTCATGGAAGTATATGTATTAATTTTCTTTTTTACTAAGTATATGCATTAAGTTATAAATAGTACTTTAGTTGTCCCCTGCCCTTGCTTGTGACTGTTGTTGGTTGCTTGGTGAGTGGTGAGTGCCCCTCTGTGGCTGTGGCTGTGGCTGTCCTCTTCTGCTGTATGTGTGCAGGATGGGTGGCTTGGTGGCTTGGTGTGTTGCACAAGGGTGCAGGAAAAACAGGGAAATTCCCAAGCACTTTTTATTTGAATTTTGATGGGGTTGTACATCTCACTTTACCATGGCCGGTAGCTGTTAAATTATACAAAATTCAATCAATGAGAGAAGATAACGATCAAGATTTGTATATAGTAGCTCTGTTTTATTTATGTATTTGTGCATAAGAATGGATCATGTTGCGTAGGGGGCTGTTACTAAGTGCTTTTGGTTACTTAATAACCCTTTTAAAATAATAGTTTCCCCAAATTACCAAGCTTAGAGTGTAATGTACTATATTGTGTAATGTACTAATTTATACTTTGTATTTTTTTTTTTTTTTGAAGATTGGAAAAAGCAATGTAGGTGCAACAAGAGAATAGGCCAGGACACTTGAGCATCAACAAGCGACTATATCGTCTATAAGGCCATCGTCTATCTATTTTGGTTTTTAGTCTTATATTAGTGATGTAATTATTTAGGGACAAGCTACTATAATATGCGACTTTTTTTTTCTTTTTTTTTTAAATAATTGTGTTGATGTTTTCTTTTATAAATTTGGTAATTAAGTACTACGTACTCTTATTATTGTTAATTAATTATTTTCTTTTAATCTAGTTATATAGAATATTTGTTTATTATTATTTTTATGTTATTAATTAATTTAATTTATGATAAATTTAAATAACTATAATGTATGTATGATGATAATAATTTAATAAAAGAAAAAAAAAACTTAAAAAAAATTTCTAGACGCTTTTTAATGTCTACATATTTGCACATTTCAAATTTCAAAGAGTTTCCTACCATACCATAGGCTGACACGAATAAACGCAAGATAACAAAAAGCGTCGCTAAATTTGATGATGTGGACAGGAAAAAGCGTCGCTAAAAAACTACACATTTGGGATATTGCGCGAAATACGTAATTTTTGACGCTTCGTATATTAGTTTGGACACTAAAAGGCGTCGAGAATCTCGACGCTTTTTAGTGTCCTTGAACAATTTTCGACTCAAAGATTTTCGACGCTTTTTTGCAGCGTCGAGAAATAATTTTTCGACGCTTTTTAGCGTCGAAAAAAGGCCTAAAAAGCGTCCAGAAAACGCGCTTTTTGTAGTAGTGAAAGGGGGATAGAGGCTTACCCCGAAAAGATACAGGCGGTGATTGACATGAAGTCACCCCATTCTGTCAAGGAAGTTTAGAGACTCACCGGTTGTCTGGCCGCCTTGGGGAGGTTCCTCAGCCGGTCAGGCGACAAATGTCTTTACTTCTTCCAAGCAATCAGGAAGAAGACCAGGTTTGAATGGGGGGACGATGCTGAGACGACATTCTAGAAGTTAAAAGAACATTTGCATTCTCTACCTAGGTTGGTCAGTCCCTTGCCTAGGGAGACGTTGTACATGTATTTAGCCGTCTCATATCATGCTCTCAGTGTCGTTCTCCTTGCTGAGCAAGACGACGTTCAGTTCCCGGTTTACTTCATTAGCCATGTTCTCAAACATGCTGAACTCCGGTACCCCATGGTTGAAAAATTTTGCCTTGCTTTGTATATGGCATTCAAAAAGCTGAAGTCTTACTTTCTGGCACATCCGGTGGTGATTTACACCGACCAGCCACTCAAGCGGCCAATTTCCACCTTGGAGTCATCCGGGAGAATGTTGAAATGGGCTATTGAAATGCAAAGTCTTGAAATCACTTACGAACCAAGAAAGGCAGTGAAAGGTCAGGCGTTTGCCAACTTCATTGTTAAAATGACCCGTCCAGTGGCTCCGGATAATCTTGATCAGGTTTGGAAAGTGTATGTAAACGGGAGCTCTACAAAGAACGGCTGTGGTGCAGGTGTAATCTACGAGTCTCCTGAAGGGGACATATATGAGTATGCACTACGGTTCAAGTTTCAGGCCTCTAACAATGAGGCGGAATATGAAGCCCTGCTAGCCGGTATCTGTATGTGTAAGGCGGCAGGGGGAATGAAAATTGACGCCTAATCTGATTCACAGTTGGTCGTTAGCCAGTATGAGGGAAAATATGAGGCAACTCATCCGGCTATGATCAAATACCTTCAAGCAGTCAAAGAAGAGGCTGGGGCACTTGAGGAATTCCGTTTGAATCAAGCGCCTAGGTCGGACAACAACCAGGCGGATGCATTGTCAAAACTGGCATCTTCCGCCTGCCATGATACGCCTCGGTCAGTCTTCTGGGAAGTACTTGAAAAAAGAAGCATCTATGAAGAACCCATTGGAATTCTTGACCGAAGCTCTACCTGGATGGATGGCATCCGGGACTACCTTTCAGACGGTACACCTCCTGATTCGCCACAGGAGGCAGCCATCCTGAAGAAGCGAGCTGCAAGCTTCGAGTTGAGAAATGGAGAACTCTTCAAGGCGGGGTTTCTGAAGCCTCTGTTGAAGTGTGTCACCCCGGAATAGGGGAAGGAAGTTCTCGAAGACTTGCACTCGGGATTCTGCGCCTCCCACATAGGCGGCAGGTCCCTAGCCGTCAGAGCCAGACGACATTATTTTTGGCCAACTCTTGAGGCAGACGCCAAGGAGTTGGTGAAGAAATGTGACAAGTGCCAAAAATTCGGCATACTTATTCACCGTCCGGCTACTGATCTGACGGCCATCCACAGCCCAATCCCGTTTGCAAAATGAGGCATGGACATCTTAGGTCCTTACACGCCTGCTCCAGGCGAAAAGTGTTACATCTTGGTGGTTGTGGATTATTTCACCAAGTGGGTGGAAGCTGAGGCGGTTAAGAACATCAAGACCTCAGACGTAATTTCCTTCATCTGGAAGAACATTATCACCCGGTATGGGGTGCCTATGTCTATGGTGTTCGATAATGGTCCTCAGTTTGAGACGCCTCAGCTCAAAACTTGGTTGGGAGATCAAGGGATCTCAAGTTGTTTTACATCAGTCGGCCAACCCCAAGCAAACGGCCAAGTTGAAGCCTTCAACAAACTAATCTCATACGGCATTAAGAAGAAAATTGAAAGAGCCGGTGGCTTGTGGGCAGAAGAGTTAATCCATGTCCTATGGGCCATCCGGACAACAGCAAAGGGGGCAACCGGTGAAACCCCTTTTCTCATGGTTTACGGTGCTGAAGTCGTCTTGCCCATTGAATATTACGAGCCGACTCTTAGAGTCATGCTATATGATGAAGAGGCAAACTGGGAAGCAATGCGCCTGGAATTGGATTCACTCCCAGAACGCAGGGGCAATGTCGCCTTGCGTCGTGAGATTTACCGTCTTAGAATGACCAGAGCTTACAACAAGAGAGTACACAAGCGTCCCTTGAAAGTTGACGACTTAGTGTTATGGAAAATGGAGGCAACCGGTAGGGCCAATGAGCTGGGAAAGCTAACTCCAAATTGGGAAGGTCCCTACCGGATTCATGAAGAAGTAAGAGACGACACCTACCGCCTGGAAACTCCAGACGACAAACGCTTGCCTAGAACTTGGAATGTAGACAATTTGAAAAAGTACTACTTCTGAGAATGTAAATTTTTTGTAAACAGTGAGTCAATTAATGAGAATTCAGACTTTGTTTGCAAAATTGTTTTGTTGTTTTTTTTATTATCCACCTGGGTAATACTCAGACGGATTCTTCATTTACCTAACTAAGTTTGATACTTAGTAAAGGTTACATTTGTTTGACCGCCTGGGTAATACTCAGATGGATCCTTTATTTATTTAACTAAGTTTGATACTTGGTATGATTTAATAATTGCATGTCTGTCTGGGAAATACCCAGACGGGCTTTTTTGTTTAACCAACTAAGTTCGACACTTAGTGTAAATTCAATGTTGTAATAACGCTTGGCCATTGCTCCGATTAAAAACTAAGCACAAAAATGCTTAGTGGCTATACAACCGGTCCTAAACAAGACCAAAGGCTAAAACAGTCGGATGGTTGCTTATTTTATAAAACCGCCTGTCTCAACATGGACAAGGCGTCCGGCGACACCCCTCCGGGTGCAATCGTCGCAGAGAACAAACTATTTGTCAGTTCTATGTACCTATGCAGACGGCAAAAATTGAACGACCGAATTGGTCAACTCATAGTCGTCTGACCAGAATGATTTGTGAAGAACGATCAAGTTACCGAATACCGGATGCCCCTAGGCATCAGTCGGTCACTGGATGAAGTTCTCACTTAGGTTATTTATTCCAAAGTTGCACTTTCTATCCCAATTGGGGCAAAAGAGTTGTGCAATGGCTATGCAATCTCTACCAAGACGGAGAAAAATCGTTTGGTTAGTGATTGGAACGCCTGTTGGTGTAAGGATGTGCACTTGGTTTGGGGCAATCACTACTGTGATTGATTGAATTACAAACGTATCATGCTCTTTGCAGCATCAGACGTTCCCAAGTCAATAAACCAACTCAATTTGAAACCAACCACACAGCCGTCCAGGGGCAAGGACAACCGACTTTTAATAAGTTAGGCAAAAAAACGCCACATGCTTTTCATAAGTTAGACAAAAATCAGGCATATACGCACAAATGCAAAAATTAAAATCCAAACATAAATGCAAAATGATCAAAATCGACTCAGTTGGTGCATTCATAAAAAGTCCACCCAACCAAACGGTTGTAGTGGATTAAATGTTAACCGGACCCCGTCCGGGAGAAGATAGAAATTGTTGATTACCCGGCTCCTCAGCCGGTAAATACAAGAATACTCGGCACGCAGGCCGGAAAAGCAAGTTTTTGGCATACTGCCGCGGATTAAAGAAAAAATAAAAAAAGAAGAGTTGGCATACTGCCGCTGAAAATCACATCTGGCCCACAGGCGGCTCCTCCTGGTCCTCCTTCTCTTACTCATCATATGAGGGAATCTCATGCGCTTCACCAGGACCAGGTAGCTCGGGCGCGGGAAGCTCAGTGTTGGCGTTAGCCCAGGCGTCGAAGGACTCAGGCTCTGGCTCACCTTTCTCTCTCAAGTACACCACGTCCTCGGCGTACCTTTGAGCCAGTGCCCAGATGCCATAATCCTTGTTGTAGACACCTAAAAATGTCTCCCCAAAACCAAACCCGTTGATGAACACCTTTCACCGCCATTATTAGTCGATTTGAGTATTTAATCTTTAGAGTGCTTAAATCCATGTTCTATCCAATATATTTCATGAACCAATCCAATTTCTAGCTCATTTCACTAAACCATAACCTATTTTCCACTTTTCGTGTCCACTGAGAGAAACTGATTTTATGGATATACAATTTTGATCCAATTATTATTTTGTTGGATAGGCCTTTAAATAAGCTTTCCAACCATATATCATAAGCCCAATTCCGAGCTATAACGAAAAAGATATGAGCAAAACACCAAACTCGGCCTAAAACCGACACCCTTCCACAAAAACGGCCATACCTTAAATTATAAATATTATTTTGACTTGATTCTAATTAGGTTGGAAAGAAGACTTGATAATCTTTCCAATGATATATTATATGCCTCATTCCAAATTACGGATCAAAAGTTATGATGGTTTTAAAAACGGGTAAAAACCTGGAATCACCGCGCACAATGCAATTCCACCGTGTCACGGGAAATTGCACCGTCTGACGGTGGG